CTTTCACGGCCGTGGCTTGAAACTGCCAACTTTTCCGGGCGTTTAGACCTCAGATGTTCGTTTTATATTAATATCATTGGTTTAAACCAGGTGTATTATAAAAATTTGCCAGAATGATTGCCCCTGAAAGCTCCAAGAGTTACGACCTAACTGGTCCATCAAATTAACATTCCAAAACTTTTTGAAACACTTTTGAAATGTAAGGTAGAAACATTCACATATAATGACCGTGATTGAATGTGCTTTAGGCAGCCATTCAACAAAATTTCCAGCTATAAAATACTAAAGTTTTATAAAAATCTAGCAAGACTTGTGTCAAAATCACATAAGTTTTCCTTTGCTTTGATGTGGGCAAGGAAAAGCATTTACTGTTTATCTGGATCTGCCATTTCGGCAGACTGAACTGAAGACTAATCGAAAAAATCTTGTCAACCTCAAGTTAGGCATTCCGTAGCTCATAATGATGCGAGCACAAAAAATATTTACTGCCTTTACACAATATATCAATCTCAAATGGCTCAAACTTTCATGTAAATAGAATAAAACGGACTCGATTTGTTTATATTTGATTGAGAAAGTTGTTTGTTTTGTTTACGGCGATCATCCAAACGAGTTGGAACGTGAAACTAGTTTCGGCACATCTTGCCGTCTGAACAGGCACTTTGTACAAAATAGTGAATAATTAAAAAATAGAAATCCATCCTCATACAAAGGGCGATCGAGCAAATTATTATATCATGATGTTAGTTTGTTAGTTAGGTACCTTCGGAACCGGGTCGAAATTTCGATATTGCATATTTTTTTTGAAAAACTGTATGAATATTTAGTTTCTTAAGAGCAATGGACCAAATAAATCGCGTTCTTAGATGGGCCATATGGTCCTTAAAGCAAAAAAAGTTTTCAATTCGGAATGCATTTTTATTGTGCGCTCAAGAGGCGTGTGCGGACTTTTTGAGGATTAATAGGCAGGATATGAAGAATGGGGCGCCAGCTTGCAGGAAGCTGATAAGAATTATTTCTAATCGACATATTTTTAGTTTAGTTTCCTGAAAGCAACTGAAGGCTTACGCATCCCGTACATTTCAGATTCTCTGCTTTTCTGATTTTCATAACATGGCTTTGGGTATAATTGCTGCTGACCTAAACAATTTTTTTCTTTTTTCCAGGTGGCACAATGCATCTTCCGGTGAGTACATGTAGATGTAGAGCATTTAGACTCATATTTTAGACTTGTATTTTATAATATTGTTGGATCTGGATTTTGTATTGGGGTTTTCAACATTTTTGCTTTATTTTTGAAAAGCTAATTTAAATTCAGGATTTATACATAACTCGACAGTATCAATGGTAGCAATTTTACAGTCCAAATGTAAATTAAATGTAGTTCTCCTATAAATACCAAAATTATGGGCGTTTTCTTCTTAAAACTTACATTCTAAACCAAACGGTTGTTGTATACCAACTCAAAAGAAATTAGACAGATTTACCAATTTTAAATTTTTTTACTCAGTTTTTCTTTGATAAGAAAGGATCTTTTTTTTTAACCCAGAATCCAGACTAAAGTGCCTAAAGTATGTGAATCTTTTTATTACGTGGTAGTAGTCTGGCAGATAGTGCTCCTGGCTTACTAATTAAGACTTTGCTCGGTTTTTCAGGGTTTTAGGGAAAATTAGGGTTTTAGGGAATTTTAGCGGCCTTGATCCGGACGGCATTTTATTTTGTAGAAGTTCGATGGCAACCAGGGTTGTAGTTTGTAAATAGCATTTTTGCTGCTCGCATGTGCAGATTTGCAGCTTTCTGGAGCGGATTTCCATTTTGAATTTTGCAAATTTTATAAAGCAGTTATTTGAAAATAGCAGCGTACTCGTTTCCTGTATGCTTGACAAATTGTTGATCTATTTTCATCTTTCCTTGCACGTTGAATTATTCAGATTTTATAGTATCCAGAACGCAGAAATCTTAATCTCGAAATTTTTATTAATTGAACCACAAATATTTTCGATTTTCGAAACGTGTTTAACGTTTCACAAACCATGTACTCAGAAAGATTGAAAAATAAATAGATAATTAAATAGTAGGAGGTTATCTATGGTTTTAACCCAAATTGAAGAAAACGACGCCAATAAATCAAATTATCGGGCACTCGATGATTGCCCGAATACACTAGCGTTTGTTTAATAATCTATAATATTACATTAACATCGGTTCATGCAGCTGCTTTGTGCTTTTATCAATGACTTTACTGGAATTGGATTGTATTCAATTCGAGAAAATATGTGCATTGATGGCTATTTTTTCACTTTTAACATCCTGTGATCTGATGTCATGCCGCCGCATGGAAATCGGCTTTATTTTTTAAGCCAGACGATATATTTACGAGCTTTAAAACGCCTTTGTACAACATTAAAAAGTATCCAGAAATAATTCCTTAAAATTTCCCAAAATTTGTATTTGTGGTGCATAAGCAGGTAGTAATTTTTGTGGAGAAATTGCCATTCAACTGTAAGTTAAATTAAAAAATGACTGTAGCTCAAATGAGGCTTGAGAAACTTCCAAAAATGTCGCGTCATGTTTGAGTCGGTTTTTCAACTAAAAAAACACGTACATCTAAAACGTCTGAAAATCAAGACTTTTTGAGAAAACTGCCCACGTTTCCTTATCGATGGTTCACTTTCTAAAAATGCCATTTAGTTCTCTCTGGAATGATGTAAAAATGAGCGTTCTTGCTCATGTTGCTTCCGAGAAATGAGCACAAACTTGACGGAAAACATAAAAATTTGGCCTAGTCTTGCACCTAAATGTCTGATATTCAAATTTCGCTTTTTGGGTCAAACCTACTCGAATTTCCCTACTCACGTTGTTATGACTGAATCGTATTTTTCAAATTTTCAAAACCACGCAACTAAAACTGGTTCAAGAGTTTTCAGTTTTTAAAACAATTCAAGAGTTTTTTGGGAAAACTGCCAACATTTCCTTATCGATGGTTCACCTTCTAAAAAGGCCATTTAGTTCTCTCTGCAATGGTGTAAAAATTACTTTTTAAGGTCATTTTATGAAAAAAACTTCCCGTAAACATAAGTCCGAGTTTTGCATAAGTGCACAGTTTCTAAGATCAATCCAAGAAAATTTTAGATTTATTTTTGTTTTTTCTTTATAATTTTCTAAATAATATTAATTTAGATCTAATTGGGCATTCGAGTTCGCCGGAATATTACCACAGCTTATATATCTGTGATACTTATTACTTTTATCATTTTAGTGAGTTCACTGGTCCCCTCCATATTTAAGGAGTTCGTTGAGACTTTTTCTTCAAATTACATTGAATACATAAGTATGAGATGCCTGTTCATGTCTATTTGCATTATGAAACATACTTTTTATTATTCCACCCATATTACATTATATTTATACGTTTAAAACCGTGGTAAGAAAACGGTTATAAAATTCAGAATGGAAAGTAGCTACTGCAATTGATTATGAAAAGACCGCACGTTTTTTCCCTGTAGCTACTCTTCATATCGAATATCTGATAAAATTATTCGCACTCTATTTTCTATATAGGTATTTGGCAATTTTTGCGTTCTATAAACTGGAAATGGCAACTAAAACTTACCTTGGGACTGCAAATGAAAATGTCAGTTGAAAGAATCTGACGACGATATTTGATAGTTCTGCAGTAAATTGCTTCTGAAGAAGTAACTTCTGCTGTGTTCAATTCGTTCAGACCGAAAAATCCGCAACTTAATAACGGTGTAATTAATGTCACGCTGTTAAGATTACATAGTGGATTCTTCCTGGAGGCGATTTGCCATAACTTCTTGAAAATTATTTGCAATTACAGAAAATGGGCGTCTAAGGTGGTCGTTCAGCAATCAAGCATTCATCGCTATAGGTGTTTTGGTATATCGCCTTTTTTGCAACGCCCGTTTAAATGGAAGATGGGTGCAATTGTCAACTAATAATTATTGAATAATAGTCATGCTTCCGCCGGAATTCCAATTTGAAACCATTTGTTGCATGATCCTTTGAAGGAGATCATGACGAATATTCTCAAGGCATCATTAGCTACCTGCTGCGAGAACTAAAATACTGCAATGCGCATAAATTACCATTAATATAGTCCAATGCAACAGGGTCAACTTAAAGTGCCCTTGGATAAATAAGTCTTAGCGTACCTACATACTTACATGGTAGATAATTATTCAATCAATGTGGAATGATACTGGGGTTAAATTAAGCATAAAACGACGCTTTCATTTGCCTTAAAAGTCTACGTTAAGGAATCGTTCTTTCATTTGTAGTGATTTTATAGTATTTCGTGTTTGCTTGCGCTGAAAATTCGAAATAAAAGCGCAGCCAAATTACAAGTAACTCTGTTTCTAATAGGCTTCATAAATTAACACTTATAATAGAATTTTCACATTTTGGTGCAAGTTGTTCCTGATTCTAATAAACGCATGGCCTTGTAACAAAATGTATTTTTAATGAGGGCACAGGTATCCATGCAATAACTGTTTGTTGCCTTCTTAATTAATATGCCTTTTCTCATTTTTTCGTTCTAATGCTTAAAGATGGGGTTTTACAGACAAAAAACGCAATGTAATAAAATTCCATATTTATTTAAAAATTTTCTTACAAAACAACTTAGAATAAATATTTGATCAGATGTAACAGATGTGTTCATTAAAAATATATAAGCTAGTATATTACATACAACGCAATGAGCTTTAGGTAGCGATTACAAATTCAAGACAATGTCAACAATTAAAATGAATTGTGCAACTTGCTAAAGTAGAGCGCCTTATATATATGTATATTTCTAAATTTACATAAAATGTTTCGTATTTTACATGTTTCTATTAGTACCAGCCAGCAATAGATTTCACTTCTTGTTTTTTATTAAAAAATGGAATGCATGATTATCTTCCGGGTGAAGACGGAAAAATGAAAATGACACAAACCAATTCAAAGTAAGCTTATTAAAACGCGAGAGAAAGGTATTACTTTAAAATATTCTATTTGAAAATAATTATACCATTTTCCTTCATATATACATTACTTTGGCAGCAGATAAACATAAATAGCTAAATATAAATAATAGTCTTACAAACCACTACAAGTAACTGATACTTTAATCGTTTGGTTAAAGCATCGTGACACTAATATATTATGTTACTCTATCTATATAGTCATAATTCCATTGGCGGCTTAAGACAAAAACCTGAATAGCTTACATGATCGTATATAAAACATACACCATTCGTCACTAAACCCTAATGACTTTGTTTACAACTTTTACTTCTATTAATATTTCGTATCATACAATGTTTGCACAAAAGCGCCTTCGTTTTCTACTTTGAATCCTACAAGCACTTTTAATAAAACTTTGCTTCTAAGTAGCGTTTTTGTGCAATGGCTTTACATCCATTTAAATAAATCAGTAGAAACATTGGCTATTTGCTCGAACTTAGGCGAATTCTTAATATGCTATAACAAGGTAAAATGGAAAAATCAGCATTTGCAATTCATTTTATATCCGTTTTACAAGCAAAACAATGTGTAATTTGCCATTTTTTTCACATCACCAATACTATACATTATTACAAGCAGGAACAAATGTTAACAGTTCTTCAATTAATGTATGAGAAAACTTACGGATTGAAATGCCGTGCACGATTAATTTTTGTTGTTTTTTTGTGTGATCTTATAGAAAGCTGGCCCTGGATGCCAACAGCTCGAAAATTGAATATGAAAACTAATTAAATGTAAAGCTAAAAGTATAAGAAAACTTGCGAATTAAAATGGGTTTTAAAACAGGTTCTTATACAGAATGCTCGATTAATTTCAGTGTTTTAGTGAGATTTTATAGAAAACTGGTGCTGGAAGTCGACAGCTTGAAAATAAAAAATTAAATCCAATTAAATGTGGTAGAGTGAAAAGTATGAGAAAACTTGCGAAGATGCACGATTAATTTTAGTTTTTTTGTGTGATTTTATAGACAACTGGCGCTGGAAGCCAACAGCTTGAAAATTGAAAATCAAAACCAAAGAAAAGCATGAGAAAATTTAGGAATTAAAATGGTCTTTAAAACGGGTTCTTTTACACGATACTCGATTAGTTTTAGTGTGACTTTATGAAAATTAAAACCAATTAAATGTTGTAGAGTGAAAAGTATGACAAAAATTGCGAATTAAAATGGTTTTTAAAACAGGTTCTTTACCAGAGAGCTCGATCAATTTTCGTTCTTTTTTAGTGTGATTTTATAGGAACCTGGCGCTGGAAGCCAACATCTTGAAAATCAACAACAATTAAATGTTGTAGAGTTAAAAGTATGAGAAAACTTGCGAACTAAAATAGTTTTAAAAAGCTGGTTATTTTCCTGGAGCTCGAACCAACAGAAAAACTAACAAAAAATCAATTAAATGTTAGAAAGAGGGAAAATTAATTGTGGGCTAACTATTGTAACAGTCAGTACATTTAAGTACATAAACAATTAATTTGAAACATACATAAGATCAGGAAAAAACCGTATATTTTAGCAATATTTTGCAAACGTTTGAGTCGTCGCAAACGAAGGTCGGGATAAAAGAAAATATAGTTTAAATCAAGCTGTAACTACGCCTAGCTAGATGTGGTGCAAATTTATTGAATGTATAAACATATAACAAATCAACGAAATCTATTGCTGCTCAACCAAACAGCTGTGGCCACCCTGTAGATACATTTTTTTAATTGAATTGGTGCTTCCCATAAGAAACATTCAACTGATTTATTTAAATACATACAAAAAACTGCAATGAAGCAAAAAAGGACGTTGAAACTAATCACTCTACTTTCCTCTAAATATTATTTACATTATTACCCAAGAACTCTTTGTAGAATCGGCCGACTTGCCTAATGGTGGACTTAACAAATGTGCACTGTACATTTTTCCAAATGAAAACAACCCAAAAATATATTCCTAATGAATGAAGGAGATAAGGAAATCGAGTTGATTGATATTCATCAGCTGATATCAACACTCGTCTATTATTTACAGCCATAGGAACAACACATAAAAATAAGTTAATTAAAAATTTATCACATTCAAGTTCCGGTCTAGCAATACTGAGGGAACACTGTGTGTCGTTCATGGAGGGACTACGGTAGTGATTATTTCGCCTTCACTGTTTTTTTGACGATGGATAAACACTGGGGTTTTGGGAATTGATTCCGGAATTTCTGAAGCCCTTATAGTTACTCTTTCAGTCATTGGGGTTAATAGTAGATTTTTCGGGCGTATGGTTGGTTCATCCGAGTCCGTATCATGGTTAAGATCTATGGTGCTTTCTGGGTGTTCCAAAGGTATGTACGACGTTAAAACAGGTTCGTCCCGAGCTTTGCCGTTTTGTCCATTGACTAATGGAATCTGTTCAGCTGTGTGGTTTACTGGCTTGCCATTTTTCTCATTGATTGGTTTGATTGAGGGTTTTTCTAATGGTTTCATTTCCTCCCCGAATCCAGATGGAAGCTCACGACGCTTTTTATTCAGTCTTTTCGTCTGTCGTTTCTTTACTAAACATATGGAGAAAATAATTGCCAGCAAGAGCCCACATACAACAACAACATATACAGCATAGTTGTTTTGGTTTAACGCAGTGGCTTTTTCCATTTCTCCAGTACGTGTATCATTCGATAGGATGTCCACGTCATTGTTGACGAATTCTTTGTAAACTGCAGGATCTGATTCTTTTTTTATTATTTCTTCGGTTACTTCGCTTGAGGAGGAAGGTGGAGTTGAGCTAGATATTGCTGTAGTCGACTCAGCAGTTGTGGAAGTTGAGGGATTTAGATCTTCAAATATAGAATCATACAAATCTTCAGCAATTACCTTTATTGGATCGGCCGGTCCGGTTCGAGTATCATCTTGGTCATCATCAACGCCTATCGGCACTGGAGTGGAGCAATTAAAGACGCACGCATTGACGGGATCAGAGTCCCATAATGGAAGGAATCCACTACCTTCGTCACCACTCCCTTCATCATGCTCTTCTACTGCGGATGCATTAACAACGCTTATAAGCTCGTCTTCAACCGGCAGATAATTTGGGTCATCAATGATTTCATTCTCCTCAACCTTAACTTCATCCTCTTCATGGAGATACGGTACTTTCGTTGTCGGTTCATTTTCAATGAAATCTTTATGACTTCCAGATCCTTCCTCTTGATCATTAATCATATCATCTTCTATCGAGCAATTAATTATATTAATATTCTTCCCGGCAGCATGTTTGGGCGCTGCACAAATAACAGGTTCCGGCATATGCACGCCCCCTTTAATGAATTTCCAGTTATACAAAATATTCTCATTGTAACAATTGCAATCAAGGGGATTATTTTGCAAATGAATGGTTTTCAACTCCTTCAACGCTTTCCAGTCTCGCGGTATTTGCGAAAGAAGATTATTTGATAGGTCAAGATCTTCAATATGTTTAGGCAGTAAGGACAGTATAATGTCTTTGATATTATTTCTAGCTAGTTTGAGAGTCTTTAAATTCACCAGCGAGGGTATATGTTGGAGTTGGATACTATTCCCTGATAAGTCCAAGTACTCCAAATTCTTCACATATTTCAGTTCAGCGGGTATTTTACTAAGTGATGCGTTGACTATGGACAATTTGAAAATGGTTTGGAACTGCTTTGGTCCCAGCTTGTCCAGAAACTGGAAAGATGGTGATATGACTGATCCTTTTTCTGGACAGGTAGTCCCTTCAGGACAATGGAATATTGAAGCTCCGAGAATTGGTCCAGCGAGTGACAATAGTATCACAGTTAGCTTCCACATTATGGACTCTGAAACAACGAAAATTTATTTAGTAAAATTATTTATGTATCATATATAAATTTATAAGGTTTTAACGAAAATGGCTGTGGTCCTAATGGGTCTACTTTTGTTTCCGAGAAGTGAGCAAACATGGGACGAAAAACATGAAATTTTGGCATAATCTTGCACATAAGTGTCTGATTTTCAAATTTCGCTTTCTGGGTCAAAACTGTTCGAATTTCCTCACTCATTCTGTTATGACTGAATCGAATTTTAAATTCTCCAACGATGCCAAGACGAATTATGAGGCTCAAATGGTTCTTGAGAAACTTCGAAAAAAGCAGCGTAATGTTTGAGTCGATTTTTCAACTAAAAACAAAACACGCAAATCTAGAACTTGAAATCAACACTTTTTGAGAAAACTGCCAACATTTCCTTTTCGATGGTTCACTTTCTAAAAATGCCATTTACTTCTCTCTGGAACGATCAGCGTTTTTGCTTCCGAGAAATGCGCGAAAACGGGTCGGAAAACATGAAAATTTGGCATAGACTTGCACCTAAGTGTCTGATATTCAAATTTCGCTTTCTGGGTCAAAACTACTCGAATTTCCTCACTCATGTTGTTATGACTGAATCGAATTTTCAATTCTTTAAAGATGCCAAAATGTATTATGGGGCTCAAATGGTTCTTGAAAAACTTCGAAAAAAGCAGCGTCATGTCTGACGAGTGACTTACTTCCTCAGATGTATTTCGTCCGAAAGCCTACCCTGGACGTCCAGGGAGTTCAATCGTTTATTCGAATTGTCTTGAATCCAAGCCTGGAAACGGTTGAAGATACTACCAATCCAAGCGTTAAAGGCAATGAAAGTCATACAAAAAACAGTATTTTTTTTTTAAATTAAAATATTTAACCAGTTGTGAAACAGGCACACAGAGTTATACTTGCAAAATTTGTTCGTAAATATTCCGCGTCACCTAGTTGACTCGATTGTGTAATTAAGTCTTTGAATGCCAGAATTGTTCCACGAGATGTTACGTCACTTTCAATATTTGTACTTAGTTATTACTTTTATTATCTTCTCAGTCCACAAATATGTGCTTTCATGCCAGCAAAGTAATTTATAATAGCAATTATTTTGCGTTCAGTGTTGAGTAAATTGAGAAAGTAGTGGATGAATTGATGCGAATTGCACATTTATATTTGATTTGCAATATATCAGGCTTTCCTGCATTGTACAAACAGTTAAAATATTACTGTAATTAGGATTCTATTATATTAAGAAACTTCCAAACAAGCTGGAATTTTTCAGTACATAATGACACTAAATTAGCCTGTAGAATATAATAGACACATTGAAAAGGCATTATAATCTAAGGTCTTCACACGCCTCTGTTAGATTTGCACTCAGTAAGAATCTTCTACTTGTCTGCGGATGGTAGACATTAAAATACAATAAGTACAAAAATCTTGCTCGTTGTCTACGATAATAATTGCTATCTATGGAAACCATCGCTGATGTATTTTTTTCTAGTTAATTCCCCTGCAAATAATAATTTATTTAAATTCAAATTAATGTTTTCACTCAATTAACAAGTGAACTACTTAATTATAAGTTGACAATTTTCCGTTATTTTTTTCAAGTTCCAAAGCTAACTGAAATATCGCGGTTATTTATAAATTTGCTTGGTTTATTTTCGCAACAACACGTTGTCTTAAACCTTAGTAGGGCTTGAGTTGGAAAAAACTAAAACTATTAAGTGATATTTTGTCAAATAAAAATAACACCGAATCAACAGTAAAATAAATGGTCATCATAAAGAAATTTTCTGATTCAATTAATTACCCTTTGTAATTAATTGCTAAAAATAGCTTAAAACGTTGTGCTCAAAATTAATTGATTCCGTCAATTTCTTCAGGAAAACCATTTATTTTATAGAACATATTTTTGTTATATGTTATTGTCGTCAATTACTTTGTTTAATCGTTTTTAGTTATGAGGCAATAAAAACATAATCGATTGATTGAATTTTGCGTTCCGCGCTAAAGTTGGAAAAATCATATCATTTTGCAGTTTTGGGAAATTCCTACAAAGACACTTTGATAACAATAAATAATAATTGTCATGATTTTGTAGAAAAGCAATCGAGTTTGCAGTTCTAAAAATTAACGGATAATTAAAATAAAATGCTTTCAATTTGTTGGTTATTACAATCAAGACAGGCAGAGCGTAATTAATTTTCCAATTATTGTTAATAAATTTGTGCCATTTTTTCCCCTGCAATGATTATTTGAAATAACCTTGCTCTAGGCTACCAGACATCCGACTACCTATTATTAACAACAATAAAGTTGATCCTTTTTATGTACTGTTAGATACCGAGCGAGCTGTAGCGATTTAATATAATAAAACTGAACATGATTTGCTATTGTTCATCACATAAATGTATTTGGATTTGAGCATCTGAAGTCTTACATTGTATCTACATATACAATGAGATTTTTTTTAAATCGATGAATCATTGAAATCATTACAAGTCCGCGTATCAGTGAACTGCCGTTCGTATTGTTGGGTCCAAAAATACTTTAAACAAACTAAAGTCAAGTGCACAGCTTATCAGAAATAAAATACTGATTTTGAGGTAAAGGTCCAAGTTTGAAGCGTAAATCCATTGTTTGATATATAAATAGCGGTATCCTGATTATTCAACAGTGAATAATTTTCAATTTTAACAAAAGAGTTCACAATTCGTCTGGAAATAGTTGGAAATAGTACCAACCGAAACGCTGGCAATGGCAGTCCTGTGCAAAATGGGAAAAAAGTTGGGCAATTAAAAAACTAATAAACTGGCGTTTTCAGATCCTTCATACAAATTTTCTTTTCTGATTTATTTGGAAAAATTTTCGAATTTCTATATTATTTTTTTTCTGGTGTTGATTGAACGTTTGTTGAAGTTGATGGTGCTTGGAGCCAAAACGGCGTTAATGTATTTCTCTCGCTGACTTAAAGCTGCTGTGGTACGTGCAGTCGGTTTTGCTGGAGATTTGTTATTAACTCGAAAGTATTATAAAATATAAATTCGTAAATTTCGGGTCTTTTCAATTGTTTGCCCAAATTTTAACCAAAAGTTTTAAAGCTTCATGTTGTTAGTTTTGCAATTCCCCAACTTTTCTACGAAGTAACGAACAAATTACGGTTTTCGATATGCCCATTCTGTTGAAAGGTTGATTCAGACTTCCATTGACTTTTAATGATATTTTAATCACAACGTTTCGGTTGGTAGAATATTCAACCGTTTTCGGCGTTCGCCTGATAAATGTGACAAAAATTTGTACATCATAAACATCGTCATTCAACCTCCCGGACGCCCAGCGCATAATAATTTTCTTGATTTCTACCAGATCTATATCGATTTGATTCAATTGAAATGATAGTTTTATCTACTTTCACATATTCCAGATAATAATTCGTTATGTAGCTCATGTTAGTCTGATCATGTGGTCAGCTTTAGATTGAAGCAATCCCTTCCGGTAATTATCAATATCCCCAAACATGATCAATTCACTTTGTAAGTAGTATAAACACTCTATGATTAATGCAGTAGAGATTAATTATCACTTATACATACAACTTTGCCGTTCTTATCGTTCCCTTTTGGGTATTCTAAGCATTATCGTACCAAACATTGACACCTCAATTTACATCACCGAAAGCATGATCTATTTATCGCTATCATTATTAAATGATAATGTTCAATGGAAAGCAATTTACTTTATTACCTATACATCATTTTTAATATTTGAGAAAATGTTGAAATTAATGCAATAGGATAAGTTGGTTGCCACTCCTTCATAGGTAATAGTGATTTAAGTTGGGCTAAATCAGGTGTTCTACATTGCTGGAATTAACTCAAGTGCGGGACAAAGCCAGAAGAAATGTACTAATTGCTTGATTTTAACGTGGGTATGACAAGTTTAAATACACGTATTATTAAAAACGACGATAGAAAGGATGTTCATAATTCAAAATTCCGGCACCTGCTGGCAAAATAACTATTAGGTGCCTGGTAATTTCAGGTTTGCGAAATTTACGATCCACCTATGAGGAGTTAAATAAAACAAAACCACTTATTCATAACTTACTTAAAATGAGCCTGGAATGCGGATAACTTCAAGCGCTCATGCGATTTGCCTGTATTTTATTGCTACTTTAAATTTGGAATCCAATAATTCCACTGGTAATGCTTATGAGAGGTCATAAGCGATTTGAGCATTGCATTGAGCATAATAGTTTCAAAATGTTACCTTGTTGATTACATTAGTTCAACCCAAAGCGGGCTTCAATATTAAATTGCAACATTTATATGACTGAAAATGTATTTCATATAAAATATTTACCTGAAATCAGTAAATGTTTATGCAAGAATTAATTGCTTTGTTGCTTAAGTCCATTTTAAGAAAACTTTACTTCGAAAATACTCCAACGTGAATTTCGCCGCAAAAGATGATTTTACTGACTAAAGAATCAATTTTGATTTGACTGTTTTTAGTTAAGTTGTGATGGTCTTAGCAGACATGATATTGAGCCTTAACTGTTGTGATCTAACAATTCTTCCTTTCTCAAGTCTGAGAAAATATGGTATATTTTACAGGATTTTTAGATTTATGCCCGCTTTTACATCTTGCCCTATTCCAGGAGGAGAATGCGTTGTTTAACATGGAAAAAGATGTTTATGTTGCAACCGAAGACCGAGACAATTACCACAATATTTTCCATTTCATTTTGATACGTTCAAGATGTAAAAAATAGGGCAAAAATAGTGCCCGCCTCTGGTTTTGTTGCAAATAAAATAATTTATCAATATTCATACAGTTGGTATACCAGAAGGCTTTCTTAGGTTTTTTTGCGGAAATGAACAGTTTTTGAATAAATTGATAAAATTACCGCAATATTTAGAATTTGAGTTTTTTAGTTCTACATTTGAGAACAAAAACCTTTTTTAGAATTTTTAAAGAGATAAAAAACAGTA